CTACCACAAAACCGTGTTCCAGTTTGATCTCACCTACACCTGGCAGTACAAAGGTCAAATAGTGGGTGTCCCTACAAAATACCCACATGGGGCCCCAGAAACTGGTAGCTGAACCCTCAAAGCCAAACTGGCCTTGCTTCAAGACTTTAATTACTTAAATATGGTTTGACCTTTGTGGTTTTTGTGGTGGTATTGCTATGAACAGGTAAGAAATGTCAGGACAGCCTGGCCGGCATGGCTCAGTGGTTGAACATCAACCTCTGAACCAGGAGGTCACGGTTCAATTCCTGGTCAGGGCACAGGCCCAGTTTCAGGCTTGGTCCCCAGTGTGGGGCGTGCAGGAGGCAGCAGATCATGATTCTCTCTCACCATTGATGTTTCTATTTCTCTCCCGCTCCCTTCCTCTCTGACATCAATAGACACGTATTACAATAATAAATAAATACGGGGGAGGTCAGTTGGTTGGAGAGTCGTCCCAATGTGCAAAGGTTTTGATTCCCAGTCAGGGCGCATAGAAGAACCAACCAATGAATGCAGAAATAAGTGGAACAAATCTTTCTTTCTCCATCTCTCTCTAAAATCAACTTTAAAATTAACAAACATATGCCAGGACAGCCTCAAGATCATGTTGTCCACAGTCTCCACCCTAAGGAGTGGACGTCGCATGAGGTTTTGCTTCCTGTGTATGTTGTGCCAGAAAGCTAGAGATTTGTTCTATCAGAGTTACCTGAATGGATCCTCAGCTGTCTTATTGCGTCAGTTTTATAACAACAGAATTAAAACAGTCACAACGTGGTTAAGGAAATGGTGGTTTCACAAGGCATCATGGTAAGTGTGAATGTTGCTTCCCTTACTCGTCCTCCCTGCAGACAAATGCCCCATCACAGATGATGGCCAGGAGTGTGGACTGTTACCTAATTTGGGGATATGCGAACAAAATGTCGTGTGTCCACCAGGAATGTACTGGACAGCCAGCTGTGAATTCAGACCATGCTAACCAGGTTCTGAATTAGGATGTCAGAAGTTAGGTCTGGCTCAGCTCGTTTGTTCAGTGAACAAATCTCGATGACCTGCTGTGGCCATTCTGACACTATGGACACCCCTGGAGTCAGCAGGACTGATGTACAGCGGTCCACTGAGCAGCCGTGGCCCCTTCCTCGAGTGCTGTTACCCTCCGTCTTTCTGGGCGGACGTGGACAGCAGCCCCAGGCTCCTAGTTCAAGGATGAGCTGGCTCCACGCCTGTTGTTGCCCTTGGCCATGCTGCTCTTCTCTCTGTGGGCTGCTGTGGCCTCGGGAGAGTGAGTGGCTTTTTATGTTGTTATTTTATGTGGTGGTTTTTTTATTGATTGTTTTTGTCATCCTCACCTGAGGATATTTTTCCATTGATTTTTAGAGAGAGAGGGAAAGACAGAAATAATGTGAGAGAAACACATCGATTGGTTGCCTTCTGCACAAGCCCCGACCAGGGCCCATGCCAGGGAGGAGCCTGCAACCAAGGTATATGCCCTTGACCATAATTGAACCCGGGACCCTTCAGTCCGCAGGCCAACGCTCTATCCACTGAGCCAAACCGGCTTGCTGAATTATTTTTTTTATGTTTTTATTGATTTTTAGAGAGGGAGGGAGAGAGAGAGAGAGAGAAACATCAATGATGATGAGAGAATCATTGATCGGCTGCCTCCTGCACACCCCACTGTGCCCTGACTGGGAATTGAACTGCAACCTCCTGGTTCATAGGTTGAGGTTCAACCACTGAGCCACACTGGCCGGGCTTTATTGATTTTTAGAGAGAGGGATGGAGAGAGAGAAACATCAATGAGAAACCGGCTGCCTCCTACACGCTTCCTCCAGGGGATCAATCCCACACCCTGGCATGGAACCCGTGACCTCCTGGCTCAGGCCCACCCCTTCCTCCTCTGCAGAATTGCACTGAGCCCAGGGTCAAAGGTCACTGTGTGTTCTCTTGGAAGCCAGGACCCAGCATCTCCTGGCCAGGTCCTCCAAGGCCCGGGGTGAGGCGGCAGGCGTGTGCGGTTGGTATTTTTTTCTAGTAAACAGGTGAAAAGGAAGCGCGAGAGTCCAGACCCCCAGCTAAGCAAACCAACATTTGCAGCATAACATCTGAGCTTCCTTACTGTGAACTGGACATTTTCATTCTCAAAATGGAAGGCGGGGCCTGAGTGGACATGAGTGCACATCCCCATGTCCAGACAGACGGCGGAGCAGGGACCTGAGGCTGGGCTCGGCCTGCAGGGCAGATGTGCATCCGCCCGGGCAAGTTGGATCAGCCCTTGAGTTACCTTGGGTCACCTTGGACGCTGCCTCCCGTCCCAGAGCTGTGCCGCCAGCCTCGGCTCGGAGTGAGAGGTGAGGCTACACGGGCTCAGATGCCCCAGGAATAGGCCTGGGCCCAGACAAGGGGTGGTTGTCCCGGGCAGCTTGGGAAGCCAGAGCATCTCCCCAACCAGGACGGAGCTGAGCGGGGAGAGGGCACGTGACCCCCAGACCCTGAACTCGTATGTCGGAACTGAAGGCAGTTTCACGCAGCTGGCCTGAGGGGAGCCCACAAGGATGAGTTGGAGCCTCTTTCTGGCTGGCTCCTCTGGGAACAAGGAGCCAGGGTGACGGGTGGGCACCACACCCCGCCCATTCCCCTGCCCTGGGCATGCGGTCGGGAGCTGGGGTCCAGTGGCTGGAGCGGTCTCCCCTCCTGTGCTCCCAGGGTGGGCTGTCCTCCTCCCTGGTAAATGGGTAAAGCTAGTTTATAACCAAGGGCCTAGCCTCCGCGACCGGGAACTGGTTCCAGGGTCTGGTTGACAGCGTGCAGGAAAGGCCCGTAAGGGTGTTGTGTAGTCCGGCGGCATAGCTGGGTGGCTGGTCAGGGCACATGCCCGGCTTGCAGCCTCCATCCCTAGTGTGTGTGGTGCGTGCAAGCGGCAGCTGACCAGGGATTCTCATCATTGATGTTTCTCCCCCCGCCCCCGTCTGAAATCAATAAAAATATTAAAGAAAAGAGTGTTGCTATGACCAGGCTGGCTTTCCAGCACAACGGGGTTCCCGAGTGCCCCCCCTCCCATCCTCACTGCCTGCTGGTGCCAGGGACTGGGTGTGCTTCCAGCGCCTCCACCCTGGCCCGGAGGGATCTTTTTCTTGGTAATTTTCCTGCCTTTTGTTCTGGAAAAAAAAAATTCTTAGGAATGATTTGCCGTCAGCCCCGCCCCTGGGCAGACATCCAGGCTGTGGGTGTGGAGGGTGGGGGTGGGGGACACACAGGGTCGCCCCTGCCCTGGTGGAACATCGTGTTCCCTACAAGCATCTGCACGTCCAACCCAACCCTTGAGCCGGCGCGGGGGCCACTGGGAGTTCTTGAGGCCAGAGAGGGTGGGGTTGAGCAAGAACGGCTCGTTCCGCTTAAGGAACAGGCAGGAAAGGGGTGTGGAGAGATGCTGATCGGCTATGCTACCCCCACCCCACCCGCCAGGGCTGCTCGGGAGGGAGACGAAGTGCAACAAAGGCTGCCCAGCTGCCGTCTTCAGGCAAAAGGGCCGCCTCAACCTCCTGGTCCAGTTCTTGCCTCTCCGGCTCTGGACGACCTCTGGCCCTGACCCATTCCCGCTGGGCCTGGTTCCTTCATCCCTGAGGCCAGCTCTCTCACTACCTCCCTCCATCTCCAGGCCCCGTAGGGCTTGCTGCCTGCCCTCGGCCCTCCATCATCTCTAACCTCTGGTGCCCCTGCCCCCATCAGCAATGGCCTCCCCTGGTTTTTAGGGAGAAAACAGGAGCCACAGGCCAGAAACTGAGCCTTTCCTCTGCTCCCACCGCCTCCTGGAGCGCCTGCCCCATCGCTCTCCCTTCAGGGCAAAAGCCTTGATGTTTGCCTGCGGTTGTCTCCACCAGGGCCCATCCCCGCAGGCCCCAGTGACGTCCTCAGGCCAAACTCACCATGGTGGGCCCTCCCTCCCGCCCAAGGACCATCTTCTCAGGAACGTTTACTAGGCGACCCCGTTAGTAGTCAATCCGCATCATTAACCAGGATGGTACCGGTTAATAATGTGGATACCGGTTAATAATTCGGATTCAGTAATCAAAGAAAACACGATAACTTCTTTTCTTTTTTAAAAAATATATTTTATTGATTTTTTACAGAGAGGAAGGGAGAGGGATAGAGAGTTAGAAACATCGATGAGAGAGAAACATCGATCAGCTGCCTCCTGCACACCTCCTACTGGGGATGTGCCTGCAACCAAAGTACATGCCCTTGACCGGAATCGAACCTGGGACTCTTCAGTCCGCAGGCCCACACTCTAGCCCAGCCATGGGCAAACTACGGCCCGCGGGACGGATCCGGCCCGTTTGAAATGAATAAAACTAAAAAAAAAAAAAAAAAAAGACCGTACCCTTTTATGTAATGATGTTTACTTTGAATTTATATTAGTTCACACAAACACTCCATCCATGCTTTTGTTCCGGCCACCGGTCCAGTTTAAGAACCCATTGTGGCCCTCGAGTCAAAAAGTTTGCCCACCCCTGGGCTAGCCACTGAGCCAAACTGGTCAGGGCCTTTTTTTTTTTATATAATATAAAATTTTAAAACTATGTGGACTATTATAACAAATACAGAAAGGTGCATAAAACAAAGACATTATACTTAATGATTTCTCAGAGGTCAAACACAAAACAAGAGTCAGATGAGCCCTGGCTGGTGTGGCTCAGCTGGTTGAACATTGTCCTGTGCACCGAGAAGCTGCTGGCTCAGTCCCCTGTCAGGGCACAGACCCAGGCTGTGCGTTCAGTCCCAGGCTGGTATATGGGAGGCAACCAGTTGATGTTTCTCTCTCTGTCTCTCCCTCCCCCTTCCTCTCACTAAAGACATATTTTTAAAAAGGACTCAGATGGCCCTGCTGACATGGCTCAGGGGTGGAGCATCGGCCCATGAACCAGGAGGTCACGGTTCGATTCCCGGTCAGGGCACAGGCCCGGGTTGTGGGCTGGATCCCCAGTGTGGGGTGTGCAGGAGGCAACCAATCCACGTCTCTCTCATCATGGATGTTTCTCTCTCCCCCTCCCTCCTCTCTCTGAAATCAATAAAAAAAATATGTTTTAAAAAAAGGACTCAGATGAAGCACCCTGGAGGGCCCCGCAGCCCCTGCGGTCCAGCAGGCTTCCTCTCCGCTCTCTCCGAGGTTTGGGTCAGGTGGTCATTGCTTCCTTGGTTTTCTTGACGGGTTTCATCGCCTAAACGTGCCTCTGAAAATCGCTTTCTTCACAGTTACACGCCTGTAATTAGACACATGAGGAGCGCGCTGACTGCTGGTGGTGAGCAGTCTTCCATCTTCTCCCCTTTGCTTGCTCTTGCCTCTTCTTTCACCCTCACTCTCTGGAACCAGTGGTTACAAGATATTCATTCCCTGGGCTTCTCCTTGCTCCTGTCATCGTGGAATATACGATTACACAGTGGTTTGTCTTTGTTGTATACACTTAGGTCATTTTAGACACACTTTTCTGCATCTTATTTTTCTCACTCAGCCTGACTTTATGGTAGGCCCTTCCAAACCAAGTGCTATTATTCCAATTCTTTCTTTAAAAAAAAATTTTTTTTATTGACTTCAGAGAGGAAGGGAGAGGGAGCAAGAGATAGAAACATCAATGATGAGAGAATCATTGGTTAGCTGCCTCCTGCACGTCCCACACCGAGGATCGAGCCCACAACCCAATACAGCAAAATAGCATACATATCAAATCGCATATATATCACATATTTATCAACATATGTGTAACTCCATCTATTGAAAACGGTGACTTCCTGGTTCATAGGTCGATGCTCAACCACTGAGCCATGCCAGCTGGACCATGCTGTGTCCATTCTTGCCCTGTCCCAGGTGCCCAGGCCAGGTCAGCCCTTGGTAAGCACTTATGGAACGAACGAAGAGTGAATTCATGCCGGTGCTGCCCCAGGGAGACCCTGCCCTGTCCAGCCTCCACCCGCACAGGGGAGCCCTGGCATGGGAGCCTGGAGGGCCGAGAGAGTGAGGCAGTGCCTGGCGGGGAGGCCTGAATGACTGGTGCCTGTCGGCCTTTTATTCTGAGTCCACAGCACCTGCTGCAGGTCCTGAAGCCTCAGCGGGGGAACGGGCAGGAGCTGGGCCTCCTCCTAGCAGCCCCTGGGTGTGAGAGGCCCAACCCCGGGCTAGCCTAGATCCGGCCCCTCTCACCTTGCCCCCGCCTCCTGCCACACCATTTAACTGCTTTCCCGTCACCCTCGTCTCTCACCACCGCTTGGCATGCTTTTTATTCAGTCAGTCAGCATGCATTTCTGGACCTACTTGGTGTTTGAGGTGCTCGGGCTACATTCATGAACAACGGGATTTCTACCTCACAGAGCTCACCTTCTAGGGGAGGAAGCCAACGCGGTGTGAGGACAATACTTACATAAATGACTGGTAGCGGCTGTGGAGGAAAGCAGGGCAGGATGAGGGGATCACACTGAGGGGCTCTGGGGTGCAGTCCCGGTTCGGGGAACAGCTGGCCTCAGTCCCGGAGCCTGAAGAATGCACCGTGTGATACGTGGGAAACCCGGGAGGCTGAGCAGTGGGGCTGGAGGGGAGCAGAGGAGATGAGGAGGGGAGCAGAGAAGGAGGAACCCCAGGCACACCCCCTCCTGGGGATCAAGCCCACAACGCGGGCATGTGCCCTGATGGGGAATTGAACCAATGACCTCCTGGTTCTTAGGTTGATGCTCAACCCCTGAGCCACAGCGGCCGGGCAAGGGTAAGCTTTTTTTAAAAAAACCTGTTTTTTGTTTATTGCTGTATTCCCACCACAGAGCATACATGCTCATAAATATTTGGGTTTTGTTTGTTTGTTGTTAATCCTCACCCGAGGATATTTGTCCATTGATTTTTAGGGGGAGTGGAAGAGAGAGGGAGACAGAAACACATCGATCAGCTGCCTCCTGCACGAGCCCCCACCAGGGCCCGGGCCCTGCAACCAAGGTACGTGCCCTTGACAGGAATCGAACCCAGGATCCTTCAGTCCACAGGCCGGCGCTCTACCCACTGCGCCACACCGGCCCAGGGCTAAATACCTGTCGGATGAATTCTATCTGCTTGATCGCACCCCTCTGAAAACCACCCACACGGGGCTGCAACACTGGCGCCTTCACGCGAAGAGCAGCGCCCAGGTGGGGAGCCCCGGCCCTTCTCCGCAGCACCAGCCCCTCCCTGGCCCCCCCAGGGACACCCACGTTCACTCCGGGGAGCTCGACGGGCCAGCACCGCGTCCAGGACACTGAGCCTCACACAAGCCCCGCCACGTGCGGCGGGGCGGGACCTGGGTGGACACGGGGCCACCACCCACCAGTCACAGCAAACCTGAAGGCCGTCCTCCTGTCCACCCCTCTGTGCGTCGTCGTTTCCCGCCCATCTCCACCCAGACCTCGGTCCGCCGGACATTAGACACGCCTCTATCCACCGTTCACAGCCGCTCTTCGTCCGTCTTTCTGTCCATCCATCAGGACCAACTTCCCAGTTTGCTGACAAATGACTCAACGCTGGCACTGAACACCCCGCATCCCGGGGAGCCCCTTAGACTCCGCGTGATGGTGAGGTTGGCTGACCCGCCCGCCCCGCAGCCAGCCCGCCCTGCACCCGTCGGCCCGAAGCCCATCGGTCCACCCACCACCCAACTGACCTCCTCGGACACCCGTCCAGGGGACGTAACAAGGCCCCGCCCCCTGCCCCGCCCATCGCCCCGCCCCTCCCGGAAGCTGCTGCGGAGAGCCCCGGCACCCTAGCAACAGCGCTTTTCGGACCACCCAATCCGCGAGCGGGGCTCCTGGTGGGAGCCAATAACGAGGGTCGCCGGGAGGGAGGCTGGGGGCGGGGCTCGGCCAGGCCGCCGCCATCTTTACGGGGGAGAAACAATAGGACGGAAGCGCCGCGGGCCCGGCCGGGGCTCCCCGTAACGCCCGCCTCGCCTCGCCTCTGGCTTCGTCGCCCCGAGAGCTTTGAGGGAGACTTTCTCCGAGCCGCTGTGGGGTGAGGCTTCCGGGCCTGAGGGATCCCCCGGGCTCTTTGGGGGGGGCTCGCGCTGTTACGGCGGGGCGGGGGCGGACGGCGGGGGAGTCGCGGGGCTTCGGGGGCCGTGTCTCTCGGGGTCATTTGAGGGAGACGTTCTCTCTCCAGGTTCCGGGAGGGGAAGGGCTACGCGGGTTTTGAGGGGCAGGGTCTCCCTTGCTTGTTGGGGGGCGGTCTCTCCCCCGGATGTTTGCGGGGTGCAGGCCCCCCCCCGGTCATTGAGGAAGCCTCGGGCCTCGGGGCGCATAACCGCGGGGCATTGGGCGCGGCCGCCTGTTTGAGCGCTGAGCCCCGGCGCCGCAGGTGCGCTTCCCGGGGGCGGCCGAGGCGCAGCCATTTTGAGGGCCGAGTGGCCGTTGGGCCCGTCAGCGGGCGTCGGGGAGGACGCCGCCGCCACGTCCTTCCCCCGAGGAGCCCGAAGGCGCCCGGGGGCGTCCTCTCTGAACCGGCTCGTGGGCTTCAGGAGAGGACGGGGAGGGCAGGGGCGGTCGGGCTGCTCGGAGCATCGCCTCCTGGGGATCGCGCCCGCAGCCCGGCTCCGCGCTCCGACCGGGAACCCAGCCGGGACCGCCTGGTTCCGAGGTGGCCGCTCAGCCCGAGCCCCACGGGCCGCGGGGGCGCGTTCTCCGGGCCCATCGGCCTCCCCCGCGGCGCCGTCGCGTGGGGTCGCCGGCCGCTTTGCACGGGCGGCATCCGAAGGGGCTGTTCCCTTCTCGGTCCGACTCGGCCTCACGCTCAGAGCCGGGAGGGGAGTCCCCGTGAAAGGGGGCGCGGAGGCCGTGAAGGGGGGGCGGGGAGGCCGGCAGGACCCGGCGCTCGCAGGTGCCGGGCCGGGGCTGGAACCGGCCGCTGCTGGGGACAGAGCAGCAGGAGCGCCCTGGCCGGGCCCAGGTGGGCGGGGGGGGGGGGGGGGGGGTCCTCCCCCGACGCCCGAAGTTGGTGGGCGCCATCCGGGGCGTGTTTCTCCCACCGGGGTGTTTGTCCCCCGCTTCCTCTCTTCCTCTAAAATCAATAAAGACATAGCCTCCAGTGAAGATTTCGAAAACAAACAAATGCAACAACATTTTGGTAGCAAAATGTACACAGACCAAGAATAAAAGTTGCCCTAACTGGTTTGGCTCAGTGGATAGAGCGTCGGCCTGCGGACTGAAGGGTCCCAGGTTCGATTCCGGTCAAGGGCATGTACCTTGGTTGCGGGCACATCCCCAGTGGGGAGTGTGCGGGAGGCAGCTGAATTGATGTTTCTCTCTCATCAATGTTTCTAACTCTCTATCCCTCTCTCTCCCTTTCTCTCTGTAAAAAATCAATAAAATATAGTAAAAAAAAAAAAAAAGAATAAAAGTAGTCCTAAGAAAACGTACTGAAACCTTTGAAAAGCGGTAACAAAAATGTTGCAGGGAACCAGTTTTATGATAGTTTCTACAAAGCACCATGATTACAGTAATCTTGATGAATTCTAGTATTTAAAATATTTGTCGTGCTTGCATGTTTTAGCAGGGTAACATTTTAAGTGAACTAAGATGCTGATTTCCACCGGTTGCTGCTGTGGGGTTTATATAATTGCATCCTGTAACCTGGTGTTAAGTATTGGAAGAGAAATTTTGGGGGTAATGTTATTGTTTTAACTTTAGCCACTGTCAGCATTAAAAAGAGGGCAAAATTAGCCCTGGCTGGTGTGGCTCAGTGGATAGCGGTCGGCCTGCGGACTGAAGGGCCCCGGGTTCCATTCCCGTCAAGGGCACAGGCCCGGGTTGGGGGCTCAATCCCCAGTTGGGGGCGTGCAGGAGGCAGCTGGTCCATGATTCTCTCTCATCATTGATGTTTCCATCTCTCTCCCTCCCCCTTCCTCTCTGAAATCAATAAAAATATATTTTTCAAAAAGTGGGCAAAATTAATGTTCTATCATATTTGACATAATCGGCCAGTTGATTGCTTAGTAACTTTTCCTTTGGAGGAAAAATCATTTGAACTGTTAACTGTTACTCCAATTGGTTTACTTGCTTTGTGATTTGAGAGTAGAATTCACAGTTATTGTTAGAAATCAAATGAATGAGACCTAGGACTAGAGTTGGTATAATTGTAAAATGAGCTGAGCAGATGTAATAGACTTTTGTGATTCAAGGCTTGTAAAGTGACAGGTGGACTGGATAGCAGCCCTGCCCCTGCCTGAGCAGTGGATGTGTGAGGAGGGGACAGCGCTGACTGATGAGCTTGCTGGTGCCCTTGCAGGAGGTGCCAGAGCTTCTGTGAGCACCAGAGCTGTCACGTATCCAGGCAACTGGGTGGAGCCTGCGCCTCCGAGGCCGCTCGCTGAGGTGAAAATTTTCCATTGTTGGGCTCCTAAAGGGGATGCACTGGGGAGGAATATCCCCTTTAATTCAAGTTGCTTCACCTCGTGAGATAATCACCTTCAGTTGAAGATATTTTTGCAGATGATCACACTCATGTGATGACGTTTTAAAGCATGCTTTTGTTTTTATTATTTATTTTTTAATCCTCACCTGAGGATATTTTTCCACTGATTTTTAGAGAGTGGAAGGGAGAGGGAAAGACAGAAATATTGATGTGAGAGAAACACGATAGGTTGCTTCTTGCACTTGCCCCAACCAGGGACCCTGGGCTGGGGAGGAGCCTGCAGCCAAGGTATGTGCCCTGACTGGGAATCTTGGATTTATGCGGAAATGCATGGCTGTCCCTGAAAGTCTCTGGCATCAGGGGTGCCTTCCCAGGAGAGAAGAAGCCCTTCTTTGACCAGGATGGTGACTCAGACTGACCTTGGTGCAAATGATGCAAGATTCTCAATGTGAGGCCGAGGAGCTCCGTTAGAATGGATGGGAAGGCAAATACCGCCAGTGCACTTGTATATAGAAATTGTTACACTGCCATTATGACCTTTAAAAGTATATTTTCTGAGTGTTATAATACGTAATTATGAAAATTTTATAGATTAAAAAATGTATAAGTAAAATTCCCTTTATTGAAGTATAATTTCTCTACAATAATGTCAATTTCAAGTCTATAACTTGATGAGTTTTGACAAACTTATATAGTCACTGTCCCAGTGACTGCATGGACTGTGTTCACTACATCTGAGAGTTCGCTTGGGCCCCTTTGCAGCCAGTCCTATTCCCCTACCTCTGTTGCCTGGCAACTGCTTATCTGCTGCTATGGTTTTGCTTTTTCTAGAATTTCAGATAAATGGAATTTCGCAGTATATCTTATGTGACTGACTTTTTCTACTTAACATAATGTTCTTGTGATTAATCTTCTTTTTGCACGTATCAATACATTCCTTTTCATGAATATTCCATTATACAGATATATGGCATACCACAATGTGTTTATTCATTCACCTTTTTGATGGGCATTGGTTGTTTCTACCTTTTGGCTATTATGAAGAATGCCTCTATGAACATTCTCATGTACAATTCTTTTTTTTTTTAATCTTTTATTGTTGAAAGTATTACATATGTTTCCCCCCCCCCATCTCTTCTAGACCACCCCCCACCCCTCATGTACAATTCTTTGTGTAGACATTTGTTTTTATTTCTCTTAGGTAAATACCTATGAGGAAGATTGCTGGGTCATATAATAAGTATATGTTTAACTTTATAAGTGGTGGTAACTTTTTGTATTTCTCCCAGCAGTGTTTGAGAGTGCCAGTGACCGACACTGGTGGTGGAGTTGTGGGGGGTGTGGATGTGTGCAGTGCCAGGCTGCGGCTCTGGGGCCATGGGAGAGCTCACGGAGAGGAGGGGCCGGGGGGTGAGGGTTGCTTTCCCGCCATCAGGCTGGTGGGCTCACATTGTCCCCTGTGTCTGCCCAGACTTGGGGCTTTTCTGGAGGCAGCGTCGCAGCCCCAGCAGATCCCTTTTGTAGCCTCATTAACAAAATTCTAGGTATGTGAGCTAGGGGCCCGGGGCCTGTCATGAGTCATAGCTGCTTTATTTGTAGTATTTTAAAAGTTAAGAATATTAATAAACTGTTTCCAGGAGATCCCTAATCCAGTTTAATAGATTTAGGGGAGTGAATTGTGGGAGAAAGCTCTGTCCTAGCCCAGGATGACTCCTGCTGCGTGTCTTAGCTGTTCATAGTTTCGTGGACAAATGTGTGAGGTAATACAGAAAGTTAAACATAATATATCTGAAACCAGTGTTGTATGGTATCCCGTAGCTCTCTAGATACAGGGCTTATCCATTGCATGGACTTCACAGTAACCATTACTACCCCAAGTTCTTGGGAAACTAGGCCTTAGACCAGCCGTGGGCAAACTACGGCCCGTGGGTCCGGCCCGTTTGAAATGAATAAAACTAAAAAAAAAAAGACTGTACCCTTTTATGTGATGATGTTTACTTTGAATTTATATTAGTTCACACAAACACTCCATCCATGCTTTTGTTCCGGCCCTCCGGTCCAGTTTAAGAACCCATTGTGGCCCTCGAGTCAAAAAGTTTGCCCACCCCTGCCTTAGACTCAGATGTTTGAAAACCATTAAGCGACCCCATTGCTCAAACCGCATGTGGAACAGGAGAGAGTAGCAGGGGACGCAGAGCAGGTGCTTGGGGTACTTTTCTTTGGAGGCTACGAGAGAAGTCGATCCTTCATTTCCCTACAGGGATAGGGCCTGTAAGGGCCCGGGGAATATGTTGTAGAGTGAAGACATACTTATGTTCCTAAAGAGAGACTGAACACAGTTGAAATAAAGGAATCACAAAACAGGACTCACCTTCCTTGTGCAGTACATTGACATTTATTTGTTTTTCCTTTTTGATTAAAACACTAATTTGATTACTCAGCCCACAGAGTAGAGATCTACTCCAGCCCTCTCCTATTTTAGAGATCAGAAAACAAGTCTGTAAAACTTAATGGGGATTTTCTCCAAGTCATCCAGTCACCTCACTGCAGTATAATTCCGCCTCCCACTGGGAGTTTCCGCTGTCGTCAGACTTGGCTCAGGTGAGAATGAGCCTTATTTTTCTTGCCTCTCTGCTCAGGATGATGATGACTCTCCGGGGAGTCGTGTCCTGGGGACTGCCAGAGCTGGGTGCTGCGGGGAGGGGTAAGGTGCCGCATCATCCCAGCAGCTGTGGGCACACTGAGGGCCTGGGAGGAGGCAGGGACCCCCGCCTGGCCTTTCAGCCCCCAGCCACACCCAGGAGCCATCCTCTATAGGGAGCTGCTCAAAGGACTTGTTTTTGTTTGTTTTAGGTTTGTCATTGGAGGTGGGGATGGATAAGAAACGTATGGAAAGATAGTTTTCTTCTGAATTGAATACGTTTAAGGAATCTTGAACAGAGGTGGAAAGGGATTTGTGTTGTTGTTAGCATTGCTCTGATAACAAAAGTAGTTTTGTACACTTTTGGAAAGGTTTTTGGATTATGTTTCTAAAGCCTGGCCCATGAGGGGTGTCTTAGACGTTCACAATTTAATAATGATGGTACCCGGTTCCTGCTGGGGTACTAGCAGTCTCACCATGAGTCAGTCTGTAGGTTTCCTTTGGAATTGATCTTATTCACCAGGTCTTTTCAGTAGGAGAGAGGGAACCACCCTCCTCAGATCTTGAGAAGGGGCGTGTGTGGCCAAGCATCTCAGAGCGCCACCTTATGGAGAGAGTCTGGAATGACAGGAATGTGCTCACCCTTAGAGCTGATGGCCTGTGTTGTGTCTTGGGATTCCTTAGCACATGCCCTCCTGAATGCTACTCGGATGATGAGAAGGTAGTGCCAGGTGAGAAATCGGGACCTTTGGCCCCGGCCGGCGGGTTCAGTTGGTTGAGCATCGACCCATGAACCAGAAGGTCACACGGTTCGATTCCCGGTCAGGGTCATGCCTGAGTTGCAGGCTTGATCCCCAGTAGGGGCTGTGCAGGAGGCAACTTGATCAATGCTCAATGGTTTTCTCTCACATCAATGTTTCACTCTCCCTCTCCCTCCCTCTCTTACTACAGTGAATAAAAACGCATTTTAAAAAAATCAGGACCTTTGGTTTTCTACACTTTGCATGTAGGGAAGCTTTTTAATTCCTACCCCTTGAGTTTAATTGGGGTCCACAGCCTGTTTTCTCTGAAAGGAAGAAATGAACACCAGTGTAAACTCTGAAAGGTTATATAGTCATGTGCCACACAGTGACAGTAACAACAGACCACATCTATGACGGCTGTCCTTTAGGATTATAATAGAAGTGAAAAGTTCCTCTCGCCTAGTGACCTCTAGCCATGTGAACATTGTAGCACAACACATTACCCACACGTTTGTGGTGATGCTGGTGTAAACAAGCCAGCTGCCAGGTGTATAAAAGATGTTACTTACAATTATGTACAGTGCATGATGCTTAACAAGATAATAAATGACTGTCACTGGTTTATATATTTACTATGTGGTACTTTTTATCATTATTTTAGAGTGTACTCTTTCTGCTTATTTAAAAAAAAAGCACAAAGGTTTTCTGTAAAAATATGCATGTTTTGCTGGCATCAGCTTCATACATCTTGTGTTTACAGCGCCTCTTGATTACATAATTTTCTCTTTTTAAAAAAAAATATATTTTATTGATTTTTTTACAGAGAGGAAGGGAGAGAGATAGAGAGTTAGAAACATCGATGAGAGAGGATCAGCTGCCTCCTGCACATCTCCCACTGGGGATGTGCCTGCAACCAAGGTACATGCCCTTGACTGGAATCGAACCTGGGACCCTTCAGTCCGCAGGCCGACGCTCTATCCACTGAGCCAAACCGGTTTCGGCCATAATTTTCTCTTTTAAAAAAAAAATGTTTTTATTGATTTTAGAGAGAGAGAAAGAGATAGAAACATTGATAAGAACACCTTCTGCACACCCCCTACTGGGGACCAAGCCCACAACCCAGGCATTGGCCCTGACCAGACTCGAACTGGGGGCCTCCTGGTGCATGCGTCAATGCTCAGTCACTGAGCCACGCGGCTGGGCGCGTAATTTTCTCTTGTGTGTGATTTAATCTCGTGTTGTTTTGCACAGTAACATGCTGTACAGGCTTGTAGCCTAGGAGCAATAGGCTGTACCATACAACCTAGGGGTGTGGTGGGCTGTACCATCTAGGTTTGTGTAAGTGCACTCTGATGTTCGCACAGTGACAAAATCGCCTACTGATACATTTCTCAGAATGTACCCTTGTGTTCAGTGGCGCATGGCGTGTTTTATAAATAGGTACTATAAATACATAGTGAAAGCACTCTCGTAGGACACGCTAAATGTCCCAAGTACGGAGGAGTGCTATGCCAACGCAGAGGCACTGGCCCTGGTGGCTGCCATGTGGGAGCATCCAGCAGCTTGAGGTTCATTTGGGAGCTGTGCCTTACTGTCTCTTACTGGGGATGAGTTTGCTGCCCTCCCCGAGTCAGCTTCATTGTTTGCAACAGGGAGAGTAGCATCTACCTCTTTGAAGGTATTGTGAGGACTAAATGAGGTTTGATCCTGCAGTGAGTCTGGCACATAATAGGGGCTTTACCCCCTTTAGAGGACAGTGGGCACATCTCCCGCAGGCCATCCTCACCACCCCCATCTCTGTGGGAGTCATGGGAACCAGAGGAATACTCAGTAAGAATCCCCGTACGGAAACTGAAGGGTAGCCCAAGCCCTGGAAGTAATGCTAGGAGTGACTGTCGGCCGTAAATTACAGACAGAAAACAGACTTGCCCTAACACTGTTAACAGTTACACAGAGGAGGGCCTTGCTGCGATCCAGGGTGTTTGGGAATGCGAAGTCAGCTGGAAGGCCCTGGCCTCAGCATGGGAGCGAGCTGTGATTGCCCCGGGAGTACAGCTTTGGTTGAAAGGCCTGTCCCAGCTTTTGGAGATCAGGATAGAACTGATAAAAATAGTTGGTGACCTAGAACACTGTATCTTTTAAAGGGAGTCGGACAGCCTTGACCAGTTGTTTTTAGATACAGACGTTAATCATTAAAGCAGGGGCCAAGCTCCACTGCTAATAAGGGTGCTGGGGCATGTATTTGGCCTTGGATAGGGGCAGTGTGTTTGGACGCCCTGGGGAAGCAAATCTTACTAGATGGCGTGGAAGCAGTTTTTCCCTTTAAGTGCATTTTATAAAAACCTAATTAATGACCAACAGTGAACATGAATGTAAACTAGGATGATGTAGGTTTATCATCATCTATAATAATAATCTATAATAATAAAAGGGTAATATGCTAATCAGACTGAACATCATTCCAGACGTCCTTCCTGATGAAGCCGGGGCTGGAGGGAAGCCAGCCTTCTCCCGGGTGCCTGCAGGCTGCCTGAGGGAAGCAGCCAGGGTCCGGGTGCCTGTGTGCGGCCCAAGGGAAGCAGCCCAGGTCTGGGTGCCGGAGGGAAGCCGGTGCCGGCAGCTGGGGAAGGAAGGCCTACTCTTGCACGAATGTCGTGCATCGGGCCTCTCATTTGTAATAAATGTGCTGCACTGGGGGGGAGTGTCATGCATATGTGGGGGCAGGTGGTTATATGGGAAATCTATCTTCCTCTTAATTTTGTCTCGAACCTAAAACTTCTCTAAAAAGTAGTTTATTGAAAAATATATAATTAACAAAGAGACTTGGACATCAGTTACCTTCAGTTTAACAATTTTATTAGAAAATAGTAAGATTTAATCGGAATATTAGGTTTGAAATGATGACTTTCCCTCATTGTGGCTTCACGTTTTGCCCTGCACTGTCTAAGAAGGGCTGTTTGCAGGGGTCCTCAAACTTTTTAAACAGGAGGCCAGTTCACTGTCCCTCAGACTGTTGGAGTACCGGACTATAGTTTAAAAAAAACTATGAACAAATTCCTGTGCACACTGCACATATCTTATTTTGAAGTAAAAAAACAAAACGGGAACAAATACAATATTTGTATTTGCATGTGGCCCGCGGGCCGTAGTTTGAGGACCCCTGGTTTAGAGGCACCTAGAGTCAGTCCAGCCCCATCCTGTAGGCCTCGCCCAACAGGCTTTGTTTGTGTCTGCGGGAGGAGGCGGGGCGGTAGAGGGTGATGTGGGCGGGCGCTCTGCGTGAGCTCAGTCTGTTTGTCTTGCTGCTGGAGGTGGAGGGCTTCAGGGCAGATGCGGCTCTAAGGCAGATGCCGTTCCCAGGTCACTTCCAACTCCTGCCACTGTTTGCTTCCCGCAGAGCGTCCTGTCGTGTGCGACCAAGGAGCCAAGGCCAGACACGCCGATACAAACAGACGGAGGACGCTCTGGCCGCTGGGCCCTGCTGCCTCCCCCTTCTTCCTGTTGCTTGCCCCTGGAGGATGAGCCCAGCCTTCAGGGCCATGGACGTGGAGCCCCGCGCCAAGGGCGTCCTGCTGGAGCCCTTTATCCACCAGGTCGGGGGGCACTCTTGTGTGCTCCGCTTCAACGAGACGACTCTGTGCAAGCCCCTGGTCCCGAGGGAGCACCAGTTCTACGAGACTCTCCCCGCTGAGATGCGCAGATTCACTCCCCAGTACAAAGGTGAGCACCCCGCTGCAGGTAGGGGTCGCCAGCGCCTGGCGAGGAGATGTGAGGCGAGGAGATGTGAGGCGTGGGGACCTCCGTGGCAGCCATACCCAGAGCCTTCACCCCTCCCGCTCACTCTGTGTTTTCCCTCCGCCTCCTCCTCCTCTTGGCCCTCAGCCCAGCACCTCACACCCTCAGTTTGCAAGCCCTGGTAAGATTGCTCAATTGTCTTTTGTTTTGTGGATTGCTTTGAGTTTATTTTGGTTTTTGGTGAAAGTGTAGTTGTGTTTTATGTTCAAGTGTCTCTTGATCGCAGTAACCCATAGTCTCCATGGAGGGACAGCGGGGGAAGACTCTGGGAGGATTTTGCCCAGAATACTGCGGCCGGCTTTTTGTCCTCCAGAAAACCAGAAGCCCTGGTGATTAGGTAGGCTCGGGAGCAGGTTGAGTCAGATGGAATGCAGGAGTGGGAGGCCTGTGCTGACTCGCTGAAGCCCATGACGGAATGTCCCTGACATTGCCATGTTACAGCGACCTTCTGTTTCACAGATGGTGACTCTGCCTTTTTATAACGCATTTTGGGGGGACATCAGCAGCCACCAGCATGGTGTGTGCTTTCCTGGGGAGGTGGGGTTCTTTGAAAATTAAGGATGAATCCATTAAGGAAATTAATGTAAAATGTGTATTGTCTGATTAAACAAAAGACTCTTGAACAACTTAGGCTCTTCTGGGACTGTTGAAACACACTTTTTGAAGACAGAATGTGCCGGGCACCTGTCTGTTCTGAATATGCATGTGTGTTGTGGTGGGGGCGGGAGAGTTGGGGGCCCTCACTTGGTCCTTCTCTGTTGTTTTTTCCAGGACAAAGCCAAAGGCCCTTTGTTAGCTGGCCGCCCTGCCCCTTTTTTCCCCCTGGTTCTTTCCCCATGGCCACAGGGAAGTGTGGCCCCTGAATTCCCCGCCCCGGCTCCTGTGCGCCCAGAGCCGGGGACCACCTCAGCAGTGTCGTCTCTCTCTGAGCACGCATTCCCCTGCAGCGGGCGGGCAGCAAGGACTGAGCACATTGTGTGATCCTGGGCCAGAGAGGTCTGGGAGGAGAGGTGTCCGGCCAGTCGGTTGTAAGGCGCTCGTCGACACCTGCTGAAATGCTGCCAGTTGACAAACCCTCCTCAGAGACTGACTGATGACACACGCAGGTGCTAGAGACTGAAGGGGGAGAGAGCTGCTCTCCAGGCACCACCATCTGTACCCCCCGCCCAGCCCTATTTGCCTTGTGTTTATTTTGTTCTTTTGTGATATGAGATCTCAAGAGACCAATAAAATAACCTTTGAGAAGGACAGAGGCTTGGGGCGCCCACCTGTATGGGGGTGCTGCAAGAAGCCTCTGCTAGGGTGTCTGTTGTGCTGTGTGGTTTGTTTTGTTTGCTCCTTTATTTTGTTTTGCTTGCCCAGTCTCTCCTTACCCTTGGATGCTTCTTACCCCTCAGGCACACCTGTGTTCCCCGTGTTCAGGCTCTGCTATGAAGCAGGCCTTGAGGCCATTGGAGTTTCTGTTTAGGGCATTAAAAATCCCCACAAGATATAAAGAGCAAATGTTTTACACCTCTCTTAAGAGTAGAAGGATTACATAAAAATTAATAAACGTTTTCAATGATGGAAAAGTGTGTCTTGTAATTCTTTGGCTCTTGCCTTGTTGAGTGCATCAGAGAGGAAGCCTCGGTTGTATTTGCTCCCTAATTGCTTGTCTGTGTGGTGTCATCTCTTCTAGTGTTTTGATATTTGTTAGGTTTGCAGATGAGTTTGGGGCCTCTGGCAACAGAGAGACTAAGGAACAGGGTAAGAGAAAACCACAAATGTTACAATCATGTTATTTATAACATATGTGGAATTAAAAGTTCTCTCTGCTTCTGTGCAATTAATAGTCCTCTCTGCTCCTTACCCCCCTTCTAGGTGTGGTATCTGTGTGCTTTGATGAAGATGAAGACAGGAACTTGTGCTTAATAGCATATCCCTTAAAAGGGGACCATGGAGCTGTGGACAGTGTAGACAGTTCAGACTGTGAACCAAAAAGTAAGCTCCTAAGATGGACAAACAAAAAACATCATGTCCTGGAAACAGAGAAGACCCCCAAGGACTGGGTGCGGCAGCACTGGAAGGAAGAGAAAATGAAGAGGTGGGTATAAGCTGAGGGGAACCCTGAACTCTGGGAGGGAGGTGGCGGGGGATCCTAGTTGCAGCTCAGTGCCCTGGACCTAAGGATGCACTTCGTGCACTTAGTAGGTGCCTTGTCACTCAGTGGCATGCGTAGCTTCTCTGCATTACATTGTGACGTTTGGAGAAGTGGCTGTGGTGGCAGCTATAGAAGGATTTCCGTCACCTTCCTCAATGCCAGTCCCTGTGCTGCACCCTGGGGATGTAGCTGTCCTAAGACAGCCATGGGTTCAGGTTGGTCACTGATAGTGGGAGAAAATGGTCTGCTGGGCATCCCCTCAACTCAGGAGTCCACTAGGCGGGGCCTTCTGAGTGCCACACCTTGGAGAGCTTGTAAACATACCAATTGAGGCCTGTGTAGTAGTAGTTAGGCTGGCTTATGGCCATGGAGTTTCAATTTCGATTTCCCCAGTCTCCAGCTTTCAGAATCAGGGAACCTGGACGTACCAGAAACCAGGGTGGTACTGCCTTGAAGAAGGCTGTGTAGGCTGCCTGTGGGGCTAGTGGGGAGGCAAAGGCTGTTCTTGCATCGTAGGTTGTCCTTACTGTAGAAAAACAGTGGCTGGCCTCTTAATAAAAAAAAAAAGAAAAATCACCTTTCCTGAGGTATAAAAGACATACCAGTGACATGTACCTTTTTAAAGTGTTTGATATGTACAATGAAACCACCATATCAAGACATCAAACTTCCCATCACTCTACAAAGTTCCTTTGTGCTTCCTTTGGCCCTGAATTTGATAAGACAATGTGATTTATTGATTCTTTATCTCTTTATAGCCATAAGTTAGAAGAAGAATTTGAGTGGCTAAAGAAATCTGAAGTCTTGTACTACAGTGTAGAGAAAAAGGGGAATGTCAGTTCCCAGCTTAAATACTACAACCCCTGGAGCATGAAGTGTCACCAGCAACAGTTACAGAGAATGAAGGAGAACGCAAAGCATCGGAACCAGTACAGTATCCTTTGTTTACAGGGCATCTCTGTCTTGGGGGGCGGTGGTGGTAAGGAGCCCCTTGGAGCTTGGAGAGAAGGGTATGAGCGGTTAGTCCTGGTTGTGCCGGGATACCACTATGTGACAGCTGTGCGCAAAGTCACTGCCCTCAGGCCAAGGGCTGGGCTGGGAATGCAGATGAGGGTGCGGTTTGAGAGCTTTTGGGGGATGAGCGGCTTCTTAGTTAGGGACCAGTCTGCACCAGGAGGCCTTTAGCCTAGAGTGCAAGGGGCCGGTCGTATTTGAGACTCCTACAGAAGTCCCCAAACACTTCCCTGCCAAGGGTCAGGTGGGGCAGACTGACCTGCCCATCCCCTTCTCCAGGCTGACCCATGAAGCAAGCACGGGCCGCTTTTATCTCCCTTCTTACCCACCACGCTATGTGCTCATTGATTATTTAAAAATATGTTTTTATTGATTTTAGAGGAAGGGAGAAGGGGGAAGAGATAGAAACATAAATGATGAGAGAATCATTGATCAGCTGCCTCCTGCACGCTCCCTCCTAGGGACTGAACCTGCAACCCGGGCATGTGCCCTGACCATGACCTCCTGGTTCATGGGTCGATGTTCAACCACTGAGCCACACCATCTGGGCTTGATTTTTTTTTTTTTATAATCCTATGGGGGGAAATTCCTCAGAATTGAGTGTGTGTGGAAAAAAAAAAAATTGAGTGTGTTTTATTTTTAACATTTTATTAGGGAAAAATTTAAACCTGTTAAAAATAGTACATGTTGAACCTTTAAGTACCAATTACCCAGGTTCGGCAGGAAACCCACCCATGTCATTTCTGTGTACACCCAGCACCGACAACTGAACTGTTTTGGAGGCAAGTCTCAGGTGTAGCGTTGCCCCTGTGTACACCAGCATGCATCTCTAAGAGATAAGGGTATTTATTTATTTATTTTTACATATTTTTTGAAATATATTTTATTGATTTTTTTACAGAGAGGAAGGGAGAGGGATAGAGAGAAATATCGATGGGAGAGAAACATCGATCAGCTGCTTCCTGCACACCTCCTACTGGGGATGTGCCCGCAACCAAGGTACATGCCCTTGACCAGAATCGAACCTGGGACCTTTCAGTCCACAGGCTGGTGCTCTATCCACTGAGCCAAACTGGTTAGGGCGAGATAAGGGTATTTAAAACATTATTACCATTGCTATTCCTGAAAAAGTGGACAGTAATTCCTTCCTATGAAATCCCTAGTTTCTGTCCAGTTTCCTAATTGTCTGCTGAGTAAGCTTTGTATTGATAGTCTCCTTGAAGGGGGATGTAGATGAGGTTCACGTGTTGCTTTTGGTTGACATGTGTAAGGTTTTCTAAGTACCCTTCTTGTTTTTTCTTAGAAATTTATTGCTGAAGAAATTGGGTCTCCTAGAGTTTCCCACTATCTGGGTCTTATTGATTACATCCTTTCGGTATCTTACATGTTACTCCGTCTCCTCTGTTTCCATTAAGTTGATCATTTTATCTACAGGCTTGATCAGATTCAGGTTCAACTGGGGTGGGGATGGGGTGGGGACCAGAGCCTTAGACATGGTGTCCACCGGGAAGCATGGTGTTCAGTTGCCTTTTCTTTTGTATGGTCCTTAGATCTGTTTTTTTCATTAGGTGACTTTCTGCTTTTGACAGTCCTTCATTCATAAGCTGGGATCCTACTATAAAGAAAAACTTTTCCTCATTAACTACGTGCTTATCCTGAGGTATACTTTATATAGGAAAAGCAGATTAAATCCTTCATTTATTAGAGATGTATTTGGAATAATGAGTAGGTTTCTTGACATCCTCCAAAGGTTTCCAGTGAGTTTTTTAGCATAAGTATTAATCCATTAATTTAAACATATTTGACATGTTTCCGTTCATTGCAGTTGTCTTTATTGATGCTCAAATTATCACACCTTTGCCAGTAGGAGACTTATAAAATAAGCTCCTGAGTCCCTTGGACACAGTCACAATAGTCTGTAATAACTGTCTTACTTTCTGGAAAGAAGTCCACGGTCATGTATGTTTCCGGCTCCAGATGTGAACTTAACCATCCCTCTGAGGCAGGGGTTGCAGACCTTTCCAGTTAAAGGCCCAAATAGTAAATACGTTAGGTCTTGCAGGCCACATACTCTCCGTCACAACTCTGTCGTTGTGGCATGACAGCAGCCATAATAGTAAATGAATGAGTATGGCTGTATCCCAATAAAACTGTTTATGGTCACTGAGATTTTAATTTCATTTTCATGTTTCATGACGGAATTGTGTGTTGGGGTGGTCATGCATCTGGTCATTGTTTCTAGACGTTTTTAGTGTATGCAGCTGGGAAAGACACATTTATTTTTCTTTAAATATATTTTTTATTGATTTCAGAGAGGAATGGAGAGAGTGAAAGAAACATCCATGATGAGAGAGAATCATTGATCGGCTGCCTCCTGCACGCCCCACTGGGGATTTAGCCCGCAGCCCGGGTGCCCTTTAGCCCAGTTGTCAGCCTTGGTCTCCCTGTGTGGGAGATGGCAGGACTGGTGGGCCCTCTGTCGTGTTGGGCTTCTCTGGGCACTGTGTGCAGGCATTGTGCCCTGGGAGTGGAGTGCCAAAGGCCCTTGCAGAGCACCTGCTCTTTAGAGGGTGTTTTCCTTAACCACTCAGAATTTATCTTACTGGAGAACCTCACTTCCCGATATGAGGTACCTTGTGTCCTGGACCTCAAGATGGGGACACGCCAGCATGGTGACGATGCTTCAGAGGAGAAGGCCGCCAACCAGATCCGAAAATGCCAGCAAAGCACCTCTGCGGTCATTGGTGTGCGCCTGTGCGGCATGCAGGTGAGGAGAGCTGGTGCATGGTGTGGGCTGCCGCCCCCCTACCTTGGCATAGTCCTATGTTTTCTCAAAAGAGACCAGATTTGACTAAATCTAACACTTTCTGGTTAGAAAAGAAAGCACGCATGCCTGGGTCATCCCCTCTGGGGCTGGCCTGGCTGGCCGAGTCCAAAGTCTGTGGACAGGAGGGGGCGGGCAAGGCAAGAGGGTTAGGTCCTCTCCATCAACCACATACTGAACCCGGAGCTGGGGCAGGACCCACGTCAGAGGGTTGTATCCTGGGTGTTGATTGGCAAGCACAGTGTCTCCTGTGACTCAACAAGTTGGAGACTCTGATTGATGCAGGGCTGTTGTTATCCCAGCCACGCCCCAGGGGCCCGGCTTTGAGGTGGCTGTCAGCCCTGACCTGCTGGTCTCCCCCCACAGGTGTACCAGGCGGGCAGTGGGCAGCTCATGTTCATGAACAAGTACCATGGCCGGAAGCTGTCGGTGCAGGGCTTTAAGGAGGCGCTTTTCCAGTTCTTCCACAACGGGCGGTACCTGCGCCGCGAGCTCCTCGGCCCTGTGCTCAAGAAGCTGGCGGAGCTCAAGGCCGTGCTGGAGCGACAGGAGTCTTACCGCTTCTACTCCAGCTCCCTGCTCATCATCTACGACGGCAAGGAGCGGCCGGAGGTGGCCCTGGACTCGGACGCGGAGGACTTGGAGGACCTGTCCGAGGAGTCCGCCGACGAGTCTGCGGGGGCCTACGCCTTCAAGCCCCTCAGCACCAGCTCCGTGGACGTGCGCATGATTGACTTTGCACACACCACCTGCAGGCTGTACGGCGAGGACAGCGTCGTACACGAGGGCCAGGATGCTGGCTACATCTTCGGGCTCCAGAGCCTGATAGACATTGTCACAGAGATCACTGAGGAGAGTGGGGAGTGAGCTGGCCGACTACCGGTCCCGGACCCTCCGTGTCCCGGGCACAGCTGTGCTGCGTCGGGGAGGAAGCCAGTGTGGCCAGGGGGTGGCCTCTGCAGCCTGGAGCTGACGCACAGAGGCCTCGAGTCCCGCCTGAGCGAGCCCCACCGTGCTCCGAGTCTTTATTTATTTTAACTGTTTCTTCAACATTCCATGTTTGATGAGCAGATACCTCTTTCTTCCCTGAGTGTAAATGTCCTAATACAGACCCTTTTGTTAATTGTACACAGTGCTGCTGTCATTTTTTTTTATTGAATTTATTGGGGTGACATTGGTTAATAAAATTATATAGATTTCAGATATACAGTCTATAACAACATCATCTGTATATTGTGTGTTTATACCAGCCCAAGTCGAGTCTCCTTCCATCACCATTTGCCCCCTTCCCCTTTCTAACCCACCCACCCCCGTCTTTCTTGCCAGAGGCAGACAACCAGCTCCCCTTCCAACCCTCAGAAGCCTCCTCACCTGTGACCACCACGCTGGCCCCACAGGATTCTCCTTGCCACTGCCCCCTCCGTGGGCCTTCGAGTCACCACAGCCTCCTGGCTTGGTCCTCAGTCTCTTAACCTAGCACCCTGAGGTAACCCCCAAAGGACCCCGACACGGATCACCTTCGCCAATTGCTGTGGGGTCCGCTAGCCGAGTGTCCCGGCGCCTCTGGAGAGAACTACACTGGACTCTGGACGGGTCTTTCCTGCCCTCATGCAGCTTAAGCCAAACCTGGCAGCAGCTCATTGGCTGGACATTGTGATGTCAGAGGACCCGGAACCAATATCAGGGCAGCCACCAGGCTCGGCTGCTGGCAGCAATGGGCTCTGTGGTGAAGGGTCCCAGGAGATGGCTGTGCCATGAGGGGTGTCCTGGGCAGGTTGGCTCTCTCGGCCTCACCACCCGTCACCATAGTATTCAGCCCTGGGCCCCAGCAACCGGCCCGTCTGGTCCTTCAGCCAGGACAGCCCCAGGAGAGCTCCTTGTGCTCGGTGCTAGGAGGGCTTCTGGGAGGAGGTGTGTGTGGCAGGAGGTCTTGAACTGCAGAACCAGACACCAGGGAGCAGAGGGTCTGAGTGCCATATTTTAGCAAGTCTCACCCCTCCCCTGGACCCCCGGCATCTCCTCTCCAAGGCCCAGTATTCCTCTGTCCACGACATCCAAAAACAGGCCGCGCGCACACCCTGGTTTGGTTGGGCCCCCAACCCTGCTCCCTGGCCCAGGCTTCAGTGGAGAATGTGGCTGGACCAGCCGGGGCAGAGATGGGAGGGCCCCAGAGACCCCTCCTGCAGACCCTCAGGGCCTCTCCTGGGACTTCAAAGACCTGCCCTTAAGGCTCCAAGGCACCCACGCCACCCTCAGGGTGACACCTGTAGGTCCTTAAGGCTCCATGGCACCCACTCCACCCTCAGGGTGACACCTGTAGGTCCTTAAGGCTCCATGGCACCCACGCCACCCTCAGGGTGACACCTGCAGGTAGCTGGGGAGCGGCTGATGCTGTGAAGGAGGGAAGTGGGTCCCCGGCAGAGGAAACGGACCACGCGATGTCAGAGCCCTGGCCCCCGTTGCTCAGGGGTTGGATGGCTGGCCCAGGCACCCAAGGGTCAAAGGGTCGCAGGCCAGGGACCTGCCTGGGCTGCGGTTCCCTCCGTACCTCGCGTTGGGGCTCCTGTGGGAGGCAACCAGTCGAGGTGTCTCTTTCACATCCATGTTTCTCTCCTTCCCTCCCTTCCACTCTCTGAAAAGGGAAAGAACATCCTCAGGATTAAAAACACAACGTGAGCGGAAGGGGAAGCTGCTGAGAGGAGGTGGGGTGCGAGCAGGATGGGAGGGTTTGGGACGGGGATGGCCCGACATGGTTTCTGTTTTTATTGTTTATTTTTTTAATAATACACTTTTATTGATTTTTAGAGAGAAAGGAAGGGAGAGGGAGAGAGAGAAACATCGGTGATGAGAATCATGGATCGGCTGCCTCCTGCCTGGCCCCCACTGGGGATGGAGCCCACCACCCGGGCCTGTGCCCTGACCGGGAACCGAACCAATGATCTCCTGGTTCCTGGGTGGATGCCAGCGGCTGACCCACCGGCCGGGCTGGTTTCTGTTTCTAAGACCCCGCCTCGCTCTCGCTGCCCACGGCCACCTGGCGTGGCGGTGACCGGGGCTGCCATCCAGGAGGGGCCGGAAGACCCACACGCCTGAGACCTGGCGCCCGCGGGCCAAGGGTCTGAGCAGAGAGGCCAACACAGGGACCGCGCCCTCGAGGTCGCCGTCCAGCCGGATGGGTGGGGGCCCACTCCTCCCCGGGGCGGCCGTCGGAGCGCTCCTGGGGGGCCAAAGCGCTCGGGCTGGTGCGGGGAGGATGGGGGGAGGGGGGCTCCGGAGAGGGGCGGGGGCGCGCGGACACAGGGACCGGGGGTGGAGAGGCCCCGGCGAGGGGCCCGCGGACTCAGCCGTCCGGG